ATGTCTGCGCAACTGCTCTTCGATTCAGCATCTGACATGCTGTGGCAACCCGAGCGACAGGACAGCACGAATCTGATAAACTGCGCTCATGACCGCACAGCTGTCGAAGGGTTTACCACCAGCCACCAAAGACAAGCACGCTTTACACCACGACTCTAACATAAAAATATTGCCACGTTAAGTTGGCCTGCGAACATGTAAGTACACTGATCTGCGGCAAGAAAGCTGTAAAAAGAGCGAAATAATTTGCAATGCGGCCTTCCTTACGCACGTGTACCTCTATTTGCGATCTGCACCGTGGTATTTGATCACTTCGATTTCCGTCGTTCTCTTGAACTTCGAGCGCCAAGCTGTCAATTTATATAGCGGATGGCAGACGCAAAAAGTAAAAACAAACAAAAACAAATGCGTTAGGAAAAAATAAAACTTTTTTAGAAGGGCCTTCATTGCGTTAAATCAATAATTATGCTGAAAAGAAAACGTCGATAGCGTATTATTGATCGAAGGTAATAAATGAGCAAAAATGCCTCTTCCAGACACTGACTTCAGTGACCTTCCTTTTGAGATTCAGCAAAACAAATATTCAACTGTAACTGACGCTGCTGCAGAGAAATGCCGATAACACCTTCACTGCTCGGGAATTCAGCGCTGTGTTTTTCAGTTGGTGTGACAAAGGAACACTCTTAGCTTTTGATTTCTCTCTATCAATCCTTGGCACTGTCTGTGATGCTTTCGTTTAGCTCGTTGACGCAATGCGATGGCGAGCTATAATAATACAAATCTCGATGTACGATTTGAATGCTTTTCTCGCCTATTAATTTTTTTTTGGAGGCGAAGGCTGCTCGTAGATCGTATTTGACGACGGAGAAGCTTAGATGCCGTTGAAAATGCTTGTTTATGCGTGCAATGCCGCCAGCCTTTCGTTCTGATTCGAGAGCTAGAAGCGTCAGTCTGGAAAAAGACAGCTTTAAAGGAAATAGTGTCACATCTGGATCTACAGATCAGGAATGTGGAGATAGGATAGAGAAAAAAAATATATGAAAAGATAATCCTGATGAAAGAAAGGAGCGTGGATGAAAGAAAAGTGTGCGCTTGTTGGCAATGACAAAAATGCATTGCGCGTGATAAACTTGTTGTTTGACGCACTTACAGACGGCTCCCCTTAATTCTTAACAATTCTTTACCGGGGTCACTAAATATGCGCCTAACATCGTTACGGGGACATTAGCGAAGCTAGTACGACGTGAAGCTACATGTAAGAGTGTCTGATCTTTATTGAATGCGCTCTCGAAAAGCTTATGTGCCGTAAGTGGTCGCGTCATTAGAAGACCTTCCTCGTCGTGTAGTTTTGTATAGTGTAGCTCCATTTACTTCTCTGGTTTATAATGCAGTGAGTTCTGTTACAATGCAATGCATGAAGACAAACAAGCATGGATTGTTGAGCGTAGAAAATTTTGGAAAAAAAGAGTATTGTATCCCAATTTGCTTAATCATACTACTGTTCTTTATACACTACGTGACTTACCCCCCTCAAGCTTCCATTTTGCTGCTGCAGTTTGTTTCAGCACATGCATAAAGAGCAGTGACCTGCCAGCTAAAAGGAAAATAAGTGTGTGAAAGCCAACCCAAGGTACACAAGACCACGTAATTTCGTGCGCTCATAATGCACGCCGAAGAGCGCACCTGTATGACATCATGCTTGGCTGCTTGCTCCATCAATGGTGTTCCGCTGCAGTAGCCTATGTTGAGAGGCACACGATAAAAATAAGATAAAGAACAAGAGCGCTTTGCGTGGTGCTAACAAGATGAAGGGATGGCGCCATTAAAGCAATTCACTCAGGGCGACCCTAACGAGGACATGCAAAGACAGTGTTCAGTGCTGCTATAGGATCGCGTTTCCTTGCTTATCATTTAGAGTTCAACCTGCCCTGTTAAGTGTAAACTTGAGGGGACAGGTTCAATTATCGGCCGCAGCGGCCGCATTCACTCGGGGCTGAATTGCGAGGAACACTTGTGTGCTCTTCGTAACTCAGTGGCACATCAATGCACTCCAGGTGGTCAGCATTATTCTAGAGCCCCCCCCCCCCCCCCCCCTTCTCGCATGGCATGTTTCATATTTGTAAAACTGCTTTGAAACATAAAATAAAAGTAACAGTAATGCCTTCCCCCTCCGGATTTCCTAAAAAGTTGCTCTTTTTCTGCAGCAAAGCTATGTATGCATGCTTACAGGCGAAATATTCACGCGTACGTGGGAAAACCTTGGGACATGTATATGCCATCGAAATAGGACAAGCTCCACCAGTGGTTCAATAAAAACGAAGTTTCCCGTGGGGTATAGCCTGTGTGCCGCAGAAACTTTAGCGGAACACTGGTGGGCCATCCCCGCCACCCGCTTGTGTTCTACTTCAGTGTCGCAAAAGGGGAATGTGGCAAAAAAAAAAAAACGTGCTGTTTAAACGGCTGCTCAACATCATGCACGAGACGCCAAGTGCATGTGGAGAGCAAGAAAAGGTGACGCGCGTTGTGGCAGAAGGACGGGCACAGCTCAGATGGAAAACTTGAAGCGGGCCACTCGCTAAATTCAAAAGGGACTAGGGCGGAAATCAGCACCAGAGTGCGTACATATTTTTTTTTTGTCCATGTCCTTTCTTGCATTGAACTACCATAAGTATATATGGGTAAAAAACGAGCCAGTATCGCCACCCTAGTCCCTTTTGAATTGAGTACAAGTGTGCCAAAAGAAGGAGAAACTTGTAAGTTTACGGGCTCGCTTTCTTTTTCAGACACAGTTAAAACAATATCTAACAGACAATGATGCCTATGAAAGTATAGAGGATGTTATTGGAAGTAATTGTAATGTAAATGGGAAGAATAAAAAGTGGACGAAAGGTAACTTGCCACCGGCAGGAACCGAACCTGTGACCTTTGAAGAACACGTCATATAACGTTACAATCACTTCTAACATTATCACTTATGCTTTCCTTGGCATCATTGTCTGTTAGTTTTCATTTATAAGTACAGAAAAAGAGACTTTCGGTAACTTTCTGCACCCTTCGTCAAAATTCAGCGTCACAGCAGTACCGCCTTCACACACAGCTCCACTGGTTATCTACCTTCGCTCCTTCGCAGAATGGAAAGGGTCATGATTTTTTTTTACCCTGCCCGTGTGAATCTTTATCGACTTCCGAAGCATTCTGACAAATGTTCGCTGGTTTTCAACTTTTTAGCACATGCCAGGTCATTCAAGACACATTCTATGCGGGCCCCGCCGCGGTGGTCTAGTGGCTAAGGTACTCGGCTGCTGACCCGCAGGTCACGGGTTCAAATCCCGGCTGCGGCGGCTGCATTTTCGATGAAGGCGGAAATGTTGTAGGCCCATGTGCTCAGACTTGGGTGCACGTTAAAGAACCCCAGGTGGTCGAAATTTCCGGAGCCCTCCACTACGGCGTCTCTCATAATCATATGGTGGTTTTGGGACGTTAAACCCCACAAATCAATCAATCAACATTCTATGCGGGGCTTCGCCATTATCTATCTGCCTGAGCATTATGCTACGATCTGGCTGGATGAATAGTTAAAAAAATATATTTACTCTGGCCGGCGTCGTCGATGACTTCAAATGAATAATATCGTGTTCTTAAAGAAATAAAAAAAACATAGTGTTAGAAACTTTATTTCGCTTCGACAGCTAGGTGTACCACATAGGCCGCAGTAATAGCGCTATTCGCTTCTACAGGTGACCGAAAAAAATGCGCTTTATACTTAAGATTTCTGCGTCTTTTCAACAATAAGCAGTCTAATCATTGCCATATGTTGGGCGTGTTTTTTGCGTTCTTACTTGAAAATCATTTTAGCGCTAGCGTGGGAGTACAGAAGGGAAGCGTTGACGTAGCGCACTACACTTTCAACACCCTCATTCTGCCCTCACCTGCTGTGCTAAATGACCAACCTAGAACAACCAAGCAACAAATATGGCTTAACAATGTTTATTTTCCCCCCTCACCGATAATATATTGTCATGACGCTAGCTGATATCAGTGTGCAGAAGTGTTTTCCACGTTTTTCAACTGGCAGATTACAGAGATTGTTGCGAGCGTACCATCACTTATCGCCACCGTTTGGCAACCATATTATCCTGGAAGTGTGTGGTGACTTGCTCTTGAAAGAATAATTATTTAGTAATATATAATACAAAATGTTGCGTAAACAGTACTGTGTTTTGGCCTGTAGTTGCCATTTGCTACAGACCATATTGCTGACTCTTTACCTTTAATAAATCAATTAAAAGTGCGGTCGTTTTTGGTGCCTTACTGTTGCGTATGCATTAACTTGTAGAAAAACATGTCCTGTTGAGGGTGAGAGCTGTTACGGTAGCTTTCAAGATTACTGGTAGGACATGCGCGAGAGAATGCCAAAACAGTTGTTTCAAAACGTGCCCGGCTTCACACTCAACAAATCAACGTTAGCAAAAATTTTACCTTGTGTGGGTGTGTTTTATCACGCAGTGGAACTAAATGGTGGTCCTCTCAGTTCGTTCTTTTTACCAAACTATGACTTCTACACTTCGTCTTTTATGCCCACCGCCGTTGCAAAGCGCGAATATGTACGCACCCACAGCAACCAATCAATTTTAGAATTAGTAGACATATTTCGCTCGGCAAGAGTAAACAGAAGTGGTCTCTTTAGTCGTTGCTGTTTTTATATAAATGTACAAATTTTGGCCGATATCCTGTGAATGATTATTTTTTAAAATATAATTACAGGACAGCTTAGTTAAAAAAAACCTTGATTAGTGGTAGCGCGCATATTTGATGATGATGACGCCATAAATATGGCTCATACCCACTCAGGGGGATCAGCCTAAATTTCTGCCGCGAACGTCGTCTTCTTTTATCGTCGCAGGTGGTGCTGCAGCTGACGCGGCATACGACTGCGATCGTGCGCACGAGCTCACGTGGTGCGCGTTCTGCGGCCGCTTCTAACAGTCAGGCTTCTTCGCAGAGCAGGAAAGGCGACGCTCCGAAGATGTCCTGGCAGGCATACGTGGACAACCAGATCTGCTCCCAAGTGCAGTGTACGGTTGCTGCTATCGCCGCGCTGGCGGATGGCGCTATCTGGGGCAAGTACGAGAAGGATCCCAAAACGGCGAAAGTGACGCAGAAAGAGCTGAAGACTATTGCTGACACGATGAAGACGAAGCCAAGCAACTTCAACGAGAATGGCATCTTCATAGGAGGTACCAAGTACGTCTGCTTATCGGCCGAGAAGACTCTGGTGCGGGGCCGCAAGGGCAGTTCCGCCTTCATCGCTGTCGCAACCAGCGCTTGTCTCCTGGTTGCCGCTACCGTCGATGGTTTTCCCCCCGGCCAGCTCAACACAGTGGTCGAAAAGCTGGGTGACTACCTCAGGAGCAACGGCTACTAGACAGCCAACAGCGGCGACGGCGGCGCCCACGAAGCAGCGTTCGTCTATTCCTTGCGACTAAGCCTCCAGAGCCACAACACACGCCTTCACCACCTGTCCATAAGCCTACCCGCCCCGGTATGTTCCCTCACCGTAAGCCTACCTACGCCTGTCATCCATCTCCACCTTCCCTAAGCCTCCCGAGCCTCGGCATCAGCCTTTACTCGCCCCTAAGACTACCGCACACCAGCATACGCCTTCACGGACTCCAAGCCTACCGGACTCTTGCACCCGCCTTCACAGGCCCCTAAGCCTACCGGTCTCCTGCACCCGCCTTCACAGACCCTTAAGCCTACCGGTCTCCTGCACCCGCCTTCACGGACCCCTTAGCCTACTGGTCTCCTGCCCTCGCCTTTACGGACCCCTTAGCCTACCGCTCTTCTGCCCTTGCCTTCACGGACCCCTTAGCCTACCGGTCTCCTGCACTCGCCTTCACGGACCCCTCAGCCTACCGGTCTCTTGCACCCGCCTTCACGGACCCCTTAACCTACCGGACTCCTGCACCCGCCTTCGCAGACCCCTTTGCCTACCGATCTTCTGCAGCCGCCTACGCGGACCCCTTAGCCTACCGATCTTCTGCAGCCGCCTACGCGGACCCCTTAGCCTACCGGTCTCCTGCACCCGCCTTTGCCGACCCCTTAGCCTACCGGTATCCTGCATCCGCCTTCGCGGACCCCGAAGCCTACCGGTCTCCTGCATCCGCCTTCGCGGACCCCGAAGCCTACCGGTCTCCTGCATCCGCCTTCGCGGACCCCGAAGCCTACCGGTCTCCTGCATCCGCCTTCGTGGACCCCTAAGCCTTCCGCACACCGGCACCTGTATTCACGGACCCCTAAGCCTTCCGCACACCGGCACCTGTATTCACTGGCCCCTAAGCCTTCGGCACATCGTCACCGAGCCCGGGCCTCTGCTTTCTCCTACCCCTAAGCCTATCATGCCCCAGCCTGAGACTAGCGAGACCTGGGGTCTGCCTTCAGATTTCTAAACTTGCCGAACCTCTGTACCTGCCTCAACTACCTCCGCCTACCGCAAACCCGGTTACCAATCTAACTGGCCCATTATCCTGCTGATGTCTATCTCTGGATGTTCCTGCCAAGCACCCGCTACGAGTTCTGGCCGCGGGACAAGTCATTCGTATTTTTTCATTGTATTCTTCAGCCCCTTTTTCATCCCAGACTCCTGCAGCTATTCTCCCGAACACTGGTTTCCAAGGGCAAGGTGGCACGCGACAGCCAAGGAATGAAGACGCTCGTGCTTCGGGCGTGGAACTGCCGATTTTTTTATGCGCCGCCTCTCCGTCTCGTGGTAGTTTCTTTTTTTCTTTTTCTTCGCTTTGTCTTCCTGCTCATGTTGCGTGTTTGTAAAAAAAATAAAACCCGCAGCTACATTGAAGGGTGCGGTCACGCTGTGTACCTGAAGTGCCCATTAAAATAAATTTTCTTTATTAAGAGTGTTCCTGAGACGTACTTTTTTTAGTGATCAAGCGTTGTTCTGCTTACACTCGGCAGAACTTCTCTTCTTGTTAAGGCGATTATTGTCGTCCGTTAGGTTAGGCGTCGTTCTTGCTGCTGTGCTAGATTTCGCGATCCGGGAATGTAGCAACGAATCTGGCAATAACCAGGCACGTCGCCGCGAAGTTTTTGTGCCAGGCGCATTCTTGCTGCTGCCGAATGCAGCCTCGGGTAAAAATTTGAGCTCTGTGGCATTTATGTTCTGGGTTTCACGTTACACGTGAAGCGGGGTTTTAATAGTTCTAAAAGTCAACTGGACGTGGCAATCATATCGGGGGCGAGAAAACGTGGGCCACGAGACGGAGAGTGCTACATCTTCTAATGGAGTGAAGACTTGTCTACTTTTTTTGTTCTCGTGTATCGACAAGGAGCCGATTTGACGCCCCGAGAGAGTCTCGTGTTCTCCTCGCTGCCGGTGTCTGCCTTGCGCGTGTATTCACCGCTATTGTTGCGAATGACGTCATTCAAAGAGGACGCACTCAGAAGCCTCCTGACTTTGAAAAGGTCCTACTGATAGAATTGCGGTCAAATTAATCGCATCAATTATATATTGAGAAATACTTAAGGTGAAACTCGTGATAGAAAATATATAAACGTTTAGAGAAGGGACAACTGCAGTTATTTTGCTATCTCTGTGTGGCCTTATTGCCTAGATCATTATGTTGGCCTTATGAGAATCTATTGAAGGTGCGAAAGGCTTACATAATCGCTAAAATGCGTTTTTTAAGTTTGATACTGCAGCTCCACTACGCTGTTTTGCAGTCGTACAGAATACGGGCTTCTCTGCCTTAACAGTCTGGCTAGATTCCAGAAACGCCTGCCTGTATACGCTCAAGTAACGTGGTGAACTTGGCGAGCTGGTATATATCCATATTATAAACTAAAGCAAAAAAAAAAAAACCCGCACATTTTGCTGCGAAATGGTCTTTCCTTTGTACTGCTTCCTTGCACTGCTTTATAATGGGAGTCTGTATACTGTATTATCGGGGCATAGGGGCTGTGCTCTTTGAAACTCCATCGTCAGGAAATTCCGAAAACAGTCGAAAGGCACCCCTCAAAAAGCTTTTTCTTTCTTCGTCTTCGCACTCTGTTTTTTGTACGCACGGGGGTATCTGGCTTTTACTGTATGCTTGAACGAAATTATTTCCAAGCCTTCCTTTAGCTTTGGAATGTGAGACTTTGTTAAATATCAAAGTAATGAGGTATCACAGTTTGCGTTCGAGACAACAAAGTGTATAATCAATTCTATCACTTATCGGGTCATTATAATTAAGGGATAACCCTGCGGTGGGTGCCTACTGCTTTGCAGCAGCACTTGTAGTAAAAAATTTCATTGTAGTTATGCATTATGTTCCAAGTTGTGGTTATCCTTGATTTGACAGTTACAGGCCGCTGAGAGTTAGCAATGACAAGCATTCAGGTATAGTTCATGTACACACTTCCATTTTTTTATCGCGAGACGACTCCTGGACATGAATTATAGCACCTAATATCGATGACAAGTCATGAGACTCCGAACATGATGCGCATGCGCCGAAAGCATACTGTAGCAAGCACCGCCTGCTATCTATATACATTTATATTTATGTACATCCACACAATCACCTTTATGTGTACCCGATAGTTCAAAAAGCATACGTGACGCTGATCGCCGTATCACGCATCTACTTACGGCTCGTCGATATTGTGAAATAACGCTTCCTTGAGTCCACACTCACTCAATAATAAAACAAAAAAAAATGCCGGGGTGTGCTAAATGCACGTATGTCGCAATTCAGCTATAGTTAGTGCTTCTGATGATTGATACCTATTCATGAGTGATACGCGTTCAACTTTGTGACGCGTCGGAAGGTTTAGCTCGATGAAATATTACCAAAAAGGGGCTCGGTGATCAGAGATCGTGAATGAATGGGCCATTCTTTGTGGCAAACCAGCTGTTGTGTGTTCGCTTGGGCGACTTAATCGGGGAAGGGGGTAAGTATGCCCTTCAGTAGAATCTGCAAGTAAACTTTTTTTCTTTGCACCTCTAGCATGTAAAATTGATTTGTACTCCGTAGAACTACAACGGAGGGGCCACATTTATCGCGCTTTTCAGAGGCGCTAACGAATGTTTGTGACAGCCGCGGCCAAATGGCGCAAAAAAAAAAGACTCACCACTTTATTTGCGTCTTCATTTGCCGACTGTAAATCTTGACCCGCCATAAATGCACTCAGCTGCTGACCCGCAAGTCGTGGGATCGAATCCAGGCCGTTTTTTCCATGGAGGCGAAAATGTTTGAGGTTCATTTGGTTCGATTTAGGTGCACGTTAAAAATCCCCAGATGGTCGAACTTTCCGGAGTCCTTCACTACGACATCTCTCACAATCCTATGATGGTTTACGAACGTTAAACGCCCCCAATTATGATTGTTGTAAATTTCAGTAGAATCGGGCCCTGGTCACGTATGTCTGATGCCATGGTCAGCGTGAAAATAAGGTGCTGTACGCAGGAAGCGAGGGGAAAGCTGTGAGCCACCCCGTGAGATTCTGGCATCACTTCCGTTCACAATTGATGAATAGGTTTGATATACAGGGAATGAATCAGAATGTCTCTTCGGCATCTGTGCCTCGTTTGTCACCTCTGTGCACGTTCTGATGATGTCACATGTCGTAATTAGTGTGAACGGTGTTATTCAGAAAAAAAAAAGGGAGGGAGTTCATGCACATTTTAGAGACGGCTGATATAATTTGCTGCTGCTCATGAAATTTCGTAGCAAAGAGATAGGTTTTCGGAATGTATAGGTTTTGATTTTGCAGTCTGCTCTGAAGCGAACAGCCACGCGTTAATGAGCGCACTTAAAACAACATTTTTTTCACTGATAATTGTCCTCTCAATTAGGGATAACCGCTGCTACCAAAGTTGTCACTGAAAGACTGCGGTTTCTCTCTTTCTTGCAGCGCCGTCTTTCAACGTTTCCACCAGCTTTCGCGCAAGCACCAGGTATGACACGTGTTTTGTACGTTTTCTTTTACCTCGAATAAACGGGCCCTTCGATGAACAGGTCTCAATTTTATACCCCGCCGTCACGGCAGCGCTGAGCTAAAACAAAGCCGACACAGAGAAAGCGTTTGTTCTGTGTGAGACCCCGGTTGGAGCAGCCTTTTTCTCGTCTTGTTGAATATTTCAGGCTACAATAAAGGGCGGTCTTCTGCATATATGCACAATGTCGCACGACCATGCCTGTCTTTCCGCCCAAAACGGCGATTTGCCTTCAACGTGCTCCGCTGGCGATTTAGCAGCGGCACCATGACGAGATTATGAGGCTGGCAGAACGGGTGGCTGCTCGTTTTTCTTTGTCGTCTGAGGAGAGAGCGAGAGATTTTTCGCGGTATGACACGCTCTCGTGACAAAAAAAAAAAAAAAAAAACTACTCGTCAGGGTGCAGCGGCGCCTGAAATATTCAAACACGCTGAAGTGTCGTATGGGTGGAAGGAGTGGAGAGGGAAAGTATTTTACCCTGCGGCACACACCCTGCTGGATAGATGGATGGGTCTTTCTCCGCGACAGCTTCGCACGCCAGTGCGACCTTGCCCGAAAGCGACGTGGGCGAGCACTGCTTGACCAACTCGAAGCGACGTCACGAACACGGCGCAATGTCCCCCAAACTGCTGTTGTTGCAGCACCGCCAGGAAGCGCAATTTTTCATGGCGCTTTAATAGCGTCGTCGGTGCCTTTTAGTGAACTGTATAGAAAACGAGGGACTATAACCCATCGGCTAGTAATAATCTGAAATGACTTTAGGCCAGTGGTGCAGAAATATGTGTCGCAAGAGCATGTCCAGCAAGCTCGGGACGGCCTTTTTTCTGGGCTCTTTTTTTCGTAAGTCGAGAAATAACCACGAAATAAGCGCGGTTTGTTCAACTTTTTCAAGCAAGAAATACCGCATGCATAGGCAGGAATACCGAAGGCTTCCCGACTTCCCGATCGACTATGGCTTCACGAACTTTATGGTCTAGAGAGAATAATATAGTCGAGCATACCCACCCCTGTTCCAATTCATTCCAAGGAAAGAAGAACCAGAATCCAGAGAAATAAAAGTCATTTGTGCAGCCTAATGTTTGTTGCTCGAGCAATAAAGTCTAATTTGGGACGGCAACTATGACTTATACGCAGCACAGCCAAGGCACAGCGTTCTGTGGTTTGGTGGGGTCCAGCCGCGAATATTAAACACAGCGGCTGTTATATGAAGTTAACAAACAGAATGTTTTCGGGTTCCATCGCTCGCAAGTATCACAGCTTACTTTAATTTCGATTACGTGAAAAGTTCTATGTCAAGCGTGTTTAACAAGATTCGGCCTTGGTCGCGAGCGAACATGTCGTCGAAGATGCGACAGCCGAGGCCGCACCTTTGCGTGTGCATGATTTAGAGGTGTTCGAAGGGATCAAGTCTCTGTGCCAAAGCTCGCGTGGTTTAAACATATAACGACAGCCTGAATCAAACACGTTTCGGCAGCCTGCGAATTATTACGCTTCTAATTTAATTGAAATCTGTGGTTTCATTAAAGCAGGTCATACTCTGAAACTTCAATTATTTGAGCTGCCGGAGTTCTTTAACGTGCATCTCAATCTAAAACACGGTGGTTTTTTTTTTTGCATTTCACTCTTATATACAAGCAGCTGTTTTGTCGAACAATCATCGTTCTCGGCAATGCTACTCAGCCGATCAGTCACAACGACGAGCGCTTCGTTTTATAATGTTTTCACATAGAAGAAGGATCAACAAAGCATAGCTTGCTTAACTTTGTTCTCATAGTATCGCTCTAAGTCAGCCTGCTCTATAACAATGACTAAAGCTTCCAGTATAAGCTCGCAAATCCGCGTATCACTCGCTGCGACCGCTGCGAGCATTTGCCACGAAAAGTGCCGCACATATTTGTACAAGGAACTTAAGCCACCTCGTGGTTTATGTGAACCGCTATATCGCGCCATAACAGTTATAACTGAATTTTATTCTGCACGTGATCGGTGAACGCAACACGAATTTAAGCTTTAGGTTTATGTCAGCCACGTTGTCTGCTATGGTGGATCAGCGCTGCAATAGGCTGGCGCTGAATGGCGCTGGAATAGGCTGCTGACCAGAAGTTCACATGTTTGATCCAGGATGCGGTGGTCGCAGTTCTGTGGATGCTAAATGGTAAAGTACCGTGTATTATATGGAAAGTCATTGCGGATCAAATAACAACAGATGGTCGAAACTTCCGAAGCCCTTAACTACGGCGTCTCTCATAATTATGGTTTTGAGACGTAAAAACCCTATATATTATGACTAAAAACACGTGCATTTCATGATAAGCATGATGATGACCTCATATGCATGGCGCTTACCTCAGCACCAATGGCTCACGGAAAGACAAAGACGATGCATCGACGAGTACCGTATTTGTGCCGAAAAAAATGAAATTCCAGTGAGGGACACTTCCCGAGTCTATAAAATTGCTTTGATGAGAAGAATACGCAAAAGTTTATTTGAGATTGCCGTTTTAGTCCATGAAAAGAAGAAGAACGAATGCTATAATACAGGTATTTCTAGCCACTATAGCTATATGATCTGCAACCATTGGTATGAACGTCGAATTACGAATATGGGGCAAAAGAAAACACTTTTACCGGTCTTGTTTTTCCTTGTTTCAGCATTTTGTCAACTTAAATTTCAAACTCCGCAGAATAACTTTAGCATGCTACTTCATTTTTGATCGACCTCGCGTAATGGGTGTGGGTCGATAATGCAAAATACACTATCATCATCCTGATGATAGTGTATTTTCCGAAAGAAGGCTTTTTTTAATGTTAGCTTTTGATCTTGGTTATTATCTATTACTAATACAAAAACTTTATAGTTACTACACATCAGCGATGATCAAAATTTCATTCTAAAGTTTGTAACGCTTTAATGTAAGTTTCTTTACAGTGAAATCGAATAATACTTCATAAGACCACTCAATTATTGGCCGATCCCCTACAGTGGGAATGAGTCACAAGGGCAGGGCAACAAGAACAATGCTGATTGACCTGATTGTGCTGTCGACCTTTGGGGCCCTCACAATGCTGACTACGGTTTCTATACGGTGTTTACGACATGTTCTCGTCGGCGTGGTACCGCAGTCCACAGCTGCAATACCCGGAGCAGGTGAGCTTTGTACGAGTACTCTTCCCAATGCATATGATCCCGCAAGGTTAAGCTAATCGAAAAGGCTTTAATCAGACTTTACACGTTACATAAATATAAGCAACCAACTACAATTACATCCTTTTGAATGGTATGTATTACAGTCGTCAATTACTGCTCCATAAAAGTAATATTTTCGCGTAAACTTAATGCGATAATTTTGGCGCATCCACAATTCTGAAAGTCTGTTGTTCTGTGCAACATTATAAAACGCTGTTCTCAGTTAAGTGCAACTTTCTCTGTCTGTGTAACGTTGGAGTTTTTTTGCTCTTTATATATCTGATATCTGTCGGCAAACATGCATACTGCGTAAGTGGCCTTGAGTTTCAACAGGCGTATTTTCCTCAACTTGAGGTAGGCAGTACATCGAACGTAAGTATTGATCAGAAGTGTTATTCTTGCCGAGATGCTGGCCTTGGAGTTTGAAAATGTGTGGTATCAAAGCAGATATGTTTGATCAGTTTCGCGTAGCGATGAAATCGACCACGAGTGCTTATCGCAAGCCTATCCTTTGATTCTTTTTGTCTTTCGTAAACTGTCAGTTCTTTTGTAAAAGAAGACTTCGACGCAAAATGTACCACACTGCGTCGTCATGTGCGCACAATTGTGTCAGATGGTGACCTGGCCCTACAGTGTTTTCTCTGTTTTTTCGCGCATGGCAGCGTTTTCGTTCCTGGGATCAGTCGAAATGCTGAAAGCTACTTTTCCTGCCGTTGGTGACTTGAGTGACTGACAGTGCTAGGGCTGGACGGTTGTGGACTCCTTAAACCTGAGTAAGTAGCTAGGCTATTGTTTTGTGAATTTTACCACGGGCGAAATGGAGCGACCAATACATATGCTGGCTTGCATCAAGTTATTTATCACTTGCAGTATGACTGCGACGAATGTGTGTACGCCGAACATTGCAGACCTATAGCCTTCGCATCTAAGTATGTATGGCCTACGTAGATTGCCGACCTATACCCTAATCGCGCAACATCAATCACTGCCTATACTTCGCATTAGTTCTGTGCATGACGCACAATTGAGTGCTTTGTGAGCCTTTCTTTGAGGAACCACAAAAGTAGTAATGGACTGTCTAATAGACTCTCTAGTCTAGATTCCCCAAAAAGATTTTGACAGAGAGAGGCGAACTTTGTCAATAAGGTACTCAACATCGCTCCAGCGTCTACCATTTCGCAACAAGTATACGCGCCGGAGAGAATTTGTCCCACGACGGCTACAGCGACAGCTGTCGGTGTCACCACAACTGGAGGGCTGTTTGCCACGGTTGCTGACAGGTTCGTTCGAGGCAGTCAATCACACTTTAAAAAGCCGCGGTTAGGTTAGCCTTCACATGTGTGGTTGTTCGTTAAGTGACTTTGTAGGTTATTACGGCTTTTCTATGTAAGCTCCTTCGCATATCTACAAACAGAATAAAGAGAATACGCTTGTAAAAAAAATGAAGCAGATACTTTCTGTTGAGTTGTCGTATAGTATCGATCACTTGGCTTATTCGATTTATGCAATTTTAAGTCGAAGGAGCGGCGTAAATGATGATACAATTACGCAGTCTTTATGAGATATAACTTCAACCGAAAACAACGCGCTCTATGAGAATCCCGGTGCGAGCGTACGCTTTAACACGGATTATTATTAGTAACGTATGCCTGTGGGAGGTATGCATGCAGCAGCAAGCACAGGACCGGGTTAACTGGCGGAACATGGGAGAGGCCTTTGTCCTGCAGTGGACGTAGTCAGGCTGATGATGATGATGGTGATGAAGATGATTAGTAACGTCGCAGACGCAACTGGGGCCATTCTTCCAACTCTTTTTTTTTTCAGTGCATAATTTTCGTGCTAAATTACTGTGCAGCAGCGCAAACAAACTTTTTGCACACTATCACATAAAATGTTCATCATTGTGGGGGGCAGTCAACTCGGGCCGCGCAGGCTGGCGTACCCGTTTCCACCTAACGTACCTTTTAGTCACCGTTACATGCGGAAGAATAAGAGTACCTCAGCACAAATTTCAGATAAGAAGTTGATGGCAGAGCCGCACGTCGCTGTCTACTCTGGTTCTAGCAGCAGTTATGCTGGCAAAGTATAAAGTCAGAACTGCTAAGCGGCAGGGCTTAGGTTAAAATACCCTCAGTAACACAGGCCATAATCATCATCAGCCTTACTACGCCCGGCAAAGGATTCTCCCATGTTCCGCCGATCGACCCACTCCTGTGCTTTCTGCTGACACGCTATACCTGCAAACATATATTGGCAAAATAGCAATAGTTATGCAGAGCCAGGCAGATCCCTTCATTTGAATTATAGTGGTAGTGTGACGTCCCACGTGAAGTATGTGCTTGCGTCATGTGGCTCTCCCACCAGTGACGGACCGAAACTTCACTACTCATGTGTGAAAAAACGGGGCTGCTTGTTACGAAAGACGAACAACACGACAACGTCCGGCTCGTCCTTATCGCATGCTTGCTGCCATTGTTCGCCATCAGCTGTGACGTAAGGAAACCCGCAGCCACTGCACTTGCCTCACGAACAGACGATAAGTGGGTTCGAAGAATATGTATACACTCTTAAAAAAATAGTGTAAAAACGGTGTCTTTTTGTCCCACAACAATAGTCAATATGCGGCTTGCTTGCGCTTGCTTTCCTGAAAATTTGGCGCTGGCCACTTCCCTACCAAGAAAGCAATGTGGCGCTGATTATACGCACATGTCGTTGGTGACCTGGAAGTGCCGGGCGTGCGGTAATATTGCAAGAAAACGAACTCAAGATAACACTGTCAAAATTTGGGCTTGTTGGTGCATTGTGACGACTGAAAATAGCGCTAAGAAACGGGGACACAAGAAGAGGACACACGGCACAGGCGCTAACTTCCAACATAATGTTTATTACCACCGCACGCTCGCCTATATCACCAAAAAAATATATCACATGACATGAATGATGCGCACAAAAAATTAAAGTCTTAGAAAATACAATTCGTATTTTCAAATACACAACCTAAAGAAATTGGCTAAGCGCTCTGAAGTTAGGGTTGTCTTTTCGGCTCCCAAGAAGTTGGTCAGCCTTTGTGGCCTTCATGACCGTGACGGAAAACCCAAAGAGTGTAGTAAGAATCATCGAACTGTTTATGTTCCCTGCATCATATGCGTTGTTTATCGTATCCCGCTTTCTTGTGGTAAAGAGTATATTGGACAGACGGGCCGTTGCCTTAATGATCGATTAAGAGAACATTGTAATAATGTGAAAAAACGGCCAGGGGAGTTGGTTGGCCATACATTGTAAATCCTGCGGCTGCGCGCCGATATTCAATGCATGCACAGTTATCAAGAGAATGTTTGATAAGCTTACTAGAGAGATTATTGAGGCTGAGGCTATCGCTTCACTGGGGTCTAAGTGCGTCAGCACTCCCTCTCTTACGCTTAGTGATAAAGAATTGTATTTTCTAAGACTTTAATTTTTTGTGCGCATCATTCATGTCATGTGATATATTTTTTTGGTGATATAGGCGAGCGTGCGGTGGTAATAAACATTATGTTGGAAGTTAGCGCCTGTGCCGTGTGTCCTCTTCTTGTGTCCCCGTTTCTTAGCGCTATTTTCAGTCGTCACTCAAGATAGATGACGATTATTGTTGTGGGATAAAAAGACTCCCTTTTTACTCAATCTTTTCTTTGAGTGTACTCGCTATGATTGTGGACACTAGAGTAAAACATTCCTGTCTATGCACATGTGCTTTCGCGTGCAACATACTCGAGAGCGTTCATGACGATATTTGGTTGCGCTAGCGCACATGCTAGCATAACGTGCTTGAGCGGCAGAATAGAAGGTTTGTCTTGCGATTTGGAAAATTCGCTGCGCATAGGCGGCCTCTCATGCATAAACTTGCAAAGCACACATTGGCAACTGGCTTGACGTATTAGTCATAGACAGCTCAATTACCATTGGGTTGGTCTTTGTTGACTATTGCAGATATTGTGTTCTTTTACAGTGTGGTGTTTTTCTCCTTGGTTTTATGGAAACCATGGCGCTATAGCTATGGCTATTTCGGGGAGCAGGGCCCCGCCTCTAAATGGTCATTTTTCACTCTCTGTGCCATAGTGAAAAAAATATTCGGGGGGGGGGGGAGCACGGGCCTGGATTGCCAACCCTGGCTACGGCACGGCCCAAAGCCCTCCACTATGCATCATGCCTCGTGAAAATATCGCGCTGTGGTACATGTAAGACCACAGATTTTATTAGAAGGACATCTTATTTTGACGTCATGTCTTAGTCATGCTTCTCGTCGTGCTAGTACCCAAATATAGCTGGCGCGATGATTCCAGCGCATTTGATTTCCACTGCGTTACAACTGATAATATTCTTTCGCTTGGTCCAGGACACGTCTGTGGCGCTGTGTTACTATTACGTTTCCTGATATACGCAGCTTCTCGACATTCTAATTGATTGATTGATATGTGGGGTTTAACGTCCCGAAAGCACCGTATGAATATGAGCGACGCCGTAGTGGAGGACTCCGGCAATTTCGACCACCTGGGGTTCATTAACGTGCGCCCAAATCTGAGCACACGGAATTCTTCTCGACATTCTAGAACACCAAGACGAACCAGGAAATGTCATCAGAGTAAGACATATAGAACGTAGTTTCAAAACGAAAAGAAAACTCGGGCGTCACAGGTGTTGTGACCACGCTTTTAATATATTTTGATGTTGCTAGTTTTCATGCGCAAATACGTTGTCGAAGTACGCGTGTCGCGTTAAGGTGCCTGTTTAGTCTGTGCAGCTTCACCCAAACGCAATTGGTGATGTCACCGTAACTACGGGTACCAGTTTATTTTTTCCGGTGGCAGCTGTCTAATATCTAGACGTTGTTAGGAAGGTGGCGTATCATATCGAATGTTATAAGGTATTTGCTGCATGCTTTCTGAAGTGTATGTTTACATATAAAAGTGCAGTATTGACGCTGTTTTTTTTAATTGCGTTCTCTTCTCAGATCAGTGACTCTGGATCTTCAGGACATAAGTTCTCCAATAAGAGCGGCTTGTAAATTGAAGTTTATGGCGCTTGAGAAAAGGGGATATGGAAGACCTCGAAGTTTGACTACTTCAGCTATACGGTGAGTGAAAATAGTGGGGAAAAAATGCAGAAATAGGCCATATCTCCATTCGCCTGTCGCTAAAATTCCGATCATCTATCGTGCAGAGTCACGCATGAAAAGGCGTCGACGTGTCGGCGATCAGCAAAGGTCGCTCTTTTTTTCAGTCATACTTCACTAAAAGGCGGTCGCGAAGCTCCCTTTACGTCATTCACGCTTGTGTTCTTATTTGTAAGTTCTTTGGCGTTTTCTAATGCACTCCTGTCGCTTTGGGGACTTGTTAGCTGCAAGTTTAATATTTACTGCGCCAGCATTGCGACTCAGAGGCGTGTGCATTGCCTTGGCTCGCCTATAGAGGCCATATTGAAATTCCCGAGCGTCGAAGCGTGCGATGGTGGGAGAGAGAGAAAGCCGTGACAGGAGGATCGCTCTCTTTCTCTCTCTCTCTCTTTTTGCGAGATATTCGCTCAAGTTCAGTCGCGTCGAGTTCGCTGTCAGTACAACTTGCACGCTTCTTAGAAAAGCGCTTTGTAGAAACTGTTCAGCCAGTCGCGCACGGCACACGAGAAACTGAAGCTGGAAGAGAAAATAATAAGCGGAATCGAATTCCATCAGTTTTTGGCTTCCGAAGAAAGGCGCTGGCAGCGATTATGCGAACGTGCACGCATTACACTCGTGCTATTCGCAAAAAGTAGTTGTAAGTAATGCTAGTGCTTTGACGTTGTGTTGGGAATCGTCAGTTTTTTTTTACTGCGCAAATAAGAAGGCCGGAAACCTGTATTTCAATCAGAGAGCTCCGCTTTTTGCGAGTCTTGTAATATATTGAAGCCGGTAGTTTGCATTAGATCAATAAGTTCCGCCTTTACCTATCGTATGATGAAAGTTTAAAACTGTCTTCAGCGTTACTAGTTTCATGACTGTTCGGATAAAGGCAGCTGGAATAGACGGCATCAGTCAATTTCTAGCTGCTTTTGCAATGTGCTAGGCGTATTTAATCGACCGAACTTGCACTAGTGCAAACATTACCGGAGTAGAGAGCTCTTATCGCTGTCAGCCTTAGACTCTACATCAGTGAAAAACAAAACAATATTTTCGTCTCATAATACTTAAAAGCCCAGCCAAAGTATTTAAGGCTGAAGATGTTGAGTTGGGCACCTTCACGAGGTGATGTCAGCAACGTGACGGAATTCGAGGGGCGTATAGATAAAAAAAAGTGCATCAGAGACTAGATACCTTGCGTTCAAACGCGTAACAGCTCAGTAAAGTTTGAGAGGAGCCGACGCAGGTTAAAGTCAGGCCTTGCATTTTTTGTCAGACGCGTGTGGCGCAACTACAGTGACAGGGTAAAGGTAATCAACTTTTTATTTTTCTTCTAAAGAAGCATGGACATTAAATATGTTTAAGAAAACTATCTAGTGACGCCATCTTGAAATCATTGCCTTCGTATTAACGTTCGCTGCTGGGCGAATGCGCTGATTCAAGACTTCCACGTCGTGCCGGCAAAATTCTGCTACGTCACCTAGTTATTATTCGACTGAGCTTTCCTTCCACCGCCACGGTATAAAGCATGTATAAAGTAGGCAACTCGTTCTTTACTTTCCCGTTGAGCGGGCTGTGTAATGCGCATGCGCATTACATGGCCCGCCAACATCCTAATTTTGTCATAACAATGGCTCTCGAATGCTAACCCGAAGTATCGAATTCCGGGTGCGGCAGCTGAATTTTCCATGGAGGCGTAAATGTCCTGTGTGCTTAGATTTAGGCGCACGCTAATAAAACGCTAGGTGGTTAAAATTTTGGTTTGGGGCGTTAAATCCAAGATATTATTATTATCATGATAACATCAACTAGAATGACGGTGACCCCCTGCTGTTTTCTCTCCCGCTTACCACACCGTCTTGGTGGGTCTTCATCTTACACATGCTGTTTTTTTTTGTTACATCGCTAGCTAAACGGTCTCTAATTTCGTCCCAAGTTATTTCAACTTGTAAGTTTTTGTACCATGTATGTGGACATCGGTGGAACACAATTGTCATGTGCACATTTCCTGTGAAAATATTCCGGGTAGCAATAGGGGAGTTTCGATTAAGTTTGATTTGTGAAAAAAACGTCCATATGTGAAATTTACGAAAATGGTTTGCACTAACTAGGTCATGCGATCCCACTGGCATATTTTAAATTATCCTCCATATAAAAAAATTACTTATACGTACGTTCCCCCACGTGTTTCGGTGCACCTGTACCTCCAAAAATGGCCCCGCCGCAGTGCTCTAGTGGCTAAGGTACTCGGCTGCTGACCCGCAGGTCGCGGGTTCGAATACCGGCTGCGGTGGCTGCAATTACGATCAAGGCGGAAATGTTGTAGGCCCGTGTGCTCAGATTTGGGTGACCGTTAAAGAAAGGTGGTCGAAATTTCCGGAGCCCTCCACTACGGCGTCTCTCATAATCATATGGTGGTTTTGGGACGTTAAACTCCACATATCAATCAAATTACCTCCAAAAATGTCAGACAACGTATTACACGGAATAAACTTGTTTTGTTGGCTAGCATTAGAGTGACTCAGCACTTTCTTTCGCCCCTCTAGACACACACTATATATTCAGCACGAAGTACGTGAACTGCCCGCGTTTTAACCACTGCATTTTCATTAAACTGCGTACTTTCAGTCACTTTATCAGGTGCAGCAAAACTACATATTGTGTAATAAGTGCACTATTGCACTTATGAGTATACTCTGAATAGGAATCTCCCCCTTACAACTGATCGCCACTGCCCCCTCCCTCTGAAACACGCACGCACATGGTACTTGAAAGCCTTTTCATTTCGGCAAAGCACCATTCAACTTTAAGGCACCGGCGCAGCAGCGGCTTTCGAGGGGGGGGGGGGCTTCAACTATACTTAATGTATGTTCGTGCGTGCGTTTGTATGTGCACGTGTACATATGCGCAAGCAAAACTAAAAAAAACTTGCCCCCCCCCCCCTACTTGGCTACGCCCACGCCGCGCTACAGTATCATATTGACGGTTAAGCACTGTTTCTACCAGTGGCTGACGTAAGAGACAGGCTTGAAGTTAGATCGATGACTCATGATTTAAACATATGCACTGCTTTAATACGTTACAGTTTATGAGAAAAAAACTTCAAAATTGCGCCAGGAGCTGGTCTTCACATTTTCTGCTTGATCACTCGACTGAGAGTGCGTAATGTCTTGCGCACCACGAAAATGTGTCATATTTGTCGAGGGCGTTGCATTATTGAGTGGCGCTGAAATCCCGGCCTGAAGGCATCTCCTTATCATAACGTTAAGATCACAGAGACACATCGTAATGCATAGTTGAGGAGTTCAAGTTAAGAGCTTAAATCACTGTATAGCACGTCACCTTACGCGGGGGGCCATTTTCTGACGCATAATCTTGCCTGTGGTAGTATACAGTTGCCTATGCCAGAAAACCCGAGTCAAGTCCTGCCTTCAAAGCCAATCCCTGTCGGCCTTTAAGGAGCGCAGCTATGGAACACTGTCTGTTCTAAGCTGTTCATCAGTTCTTTGAGTAGAATCTCAAAAGAAAAACTATAAATTTGGACCAGTAGCGCATAATTTAAGAGATTACGTATTTCATTAATTTGGAAACATAAAGTCGATTATCAAGAGAAAATGTGCAGTTTGTTTTCTCATCAAAATCTGATGGAGCGTCAGCTTAACGTCATGGATATAAGTTTCAATAGCAATTAAATGAACAATCTCGGCTGGATTTTTCTGCCGGCGTCATTCACCGTATATGTATACACACACACACACACACACACACACACACACACACACACACACACACACACACACACACACACACACACACACACACACACACACACACACACACACACACACACATACATACATACATACATATATATATATATATATATATATATATATATATATATATATATATATATATATATAATGAGAATTAACAGACAGTAATGCCAAGGAATGTACAGGGGAAGTTATTAGAACCAATTGAATGTAAATAAAAAGAAAGAAAAGTGGATGAAAAAATAACCAGCCGTGAGCAGGAATCGAACCTACGACCTTCGAATAACGCGTTCGATGCTCTAACCACTGAGCTACCACAGCGGCCTTCCCTCCATCCACTTTTTTGGGTTTATATGTGAATTTAGAAGTAGGAGTGACAGTCAGCGCCATCTATAAGCCAAACGACGATTGTGAAAACACTGTTATGCGCATGTTTGGCGTCACGTAGCACGTGAACTTATTATGAGCAGGCAGCTGATTAATTGTCCCTCTTATACAACCTAAACACACCAAGTCTGCCATTACGAGACCCTCGTTCAATAAAATAAGGGAAAGAAGTGTATACCTAAGGGCTCGTTTTCCGTGTTTTAACACAATATTAATGAGATCTAACAGACAGTAATGTCAAGGAATGTACAGGAGAAGTTATTAGAACAAATTGAATGTAAATAGGAAGAAAGAAATGCGCATAAGAGTGTTTTCACACTCGTGGTTTGGCTTATAGATGGCGCTGACTGTCACTCCTACTTCTAAATTCACATATAAACCCAAAAAAGTGGATGGAGGAGAGGCCGCTGTGGTAGCTCAGTGGTTAGAGCATCGAACGCGTTATTTGAAGGTCGTAGGTTCGATTCCTGCTCACGGCTGGTTATTTTTTCATCCACTTTTCTTTCTTCTTATTTACATTCAATTGGTTCTAATAACTTCCCCTGTACATTCCTTGGCATTACTGTCTGTTAGATCTCATTAATATTGTGTTAAAACACGGAAAAACGAGCCCTTAGGTATACACTTCTTTCCCTTATATATATATATATATATATATATATATATATATATATATATATATAATATGTGTGTGTGTGGAAACGCAGGTAAGAAAAGTAAAGCAGAAAAATACTCCGGTGCGAGGAATCGAGCGTCCGACCCCTTGCTTGTGAGTGCGAGGCGTTAGCCACTGAGCCATGGAAAAGTATGTCCTTGAAC